CAATATGAAATAATTATAATTAATTATGTTTTGTTTTCTTTTGTTATTAAACGTAAAGTTACACAAGGAGATATCTGTGCTCTGCTCACAGCAGGTACCGAAACTCGATTTTCAGCGTGATAAGCCCTCAGACTTGCCGCTGAACCACCGGGGAAGGGGCTAGTGATATGGATAAGCATAGAGTGGTAACTAGAGGTGTCCAAGGTATCCATCTCCACCAGGACCCTTAACAACAACAAAATGATCTCTACATAAAACATAGCGTTCTTTGTATTTAAAATATGCTTAATTATTTTTTACGTAATTATTCCTGTACATTCTTGAGCTTCACTTGTACTCCAGTTGGTTTTCATTGTTGTTTCCCTATTCTCACCTGTGTGTCTCCTCCTACTGAATACTGAAGTATTACACCTTTATCTGACCTTCATGTTATTTCAGGTACATATAGGTGTGTGTGTAACAATTTAACCTTCTACATTCCACAACTTTTAATAGCGCCAAATTGCTGCATGCCTTTTTGACAGAACGTATTACTTTTTGTGGGTATGGAAAGTAAGAATAGAACAAGCCAATTACAAAAGAGAGAGCTTTACGTGCATAACAAAACACACCTCCTAGTTGTTGTGATAAATTGCGATGATTAACCGTTTTATTCGTGTAATTTTGTTGTTGTCTGATTTTATGTGTAAGGTTCGGTTCCGTTAAAACTAAAATTCACATTGGTTTTCTACTTATGTTAGATTAACGTTCGATAACCTGTAGTAGTTTAAACATGACTGAAAAAAGTTAATGTGTTTTGTTTTTAACAGATGACAGTTAAATTAATAGAGTTCGTGGAAGTACAAACAATTCATTGTTCAAAGAAATTAATTTAGGCTCTCACGTAAAATATCAATAACTCATAACTCAGATATATTAATCTTTACAATAGAATTTATAAATTCATAGAAAGCTATATTTTACTTTTCATACACAAAGAAACCCCGAGGGAAATTTTCATGACAATATGAAATGACGAAATTTTATTGATCTTATATTTGGGTGTAGATACACTTAATTCAATGGAAAGTAGCCAAAATATGAGTTTGTTGACGCGTTCCAGCATTAAATAAGTAACTTCTTGGAGTTACAACGCTAAAATCCGGGGTTCGATTTCTCGCGGTGAGAAGAGTATAAAATAGCCCATTGTGTAGCTTTGTGCTAAAAAGAAAACAAATTTTAGCATCGGTAAAAATAAAATGGGGGGGGGGGGATCAGGAATTGTAATAATGATGTGGAATGATGAATGTCAATGGTATTAAAAAAATGTTAGTCATATTTTTTACAGACATTTCCTGCATAATTTTCTGTATGACGTTTGTTACTAGACGAGCTTTAAGTGGGGTGTAAATAAAATGAAGTAAACAAGAAAGTATGTAACACCTCTTCGACTGGAAAAGAAAGATAGCAGAAAAAATAAAACAACATAATCAAGCAGGATGATCTATCTAACGTATTGAATAATTTGACTTTATTAACTTGTAGGCTAGATTCCAGACAATATAAAAGCAATAAATGGGTAGCTTTCTTTATAACGGAATGGTATTGAATTGCCTAAAAAAAAAAACAGATTTAAATACATATATTCAGGAAAAAATCAATTGAGGTAAATAACACACCCCAGTTTTAGGGACGTGAATTTTACTATAGGGTCAAAAGGAAAATGTATGTGATAGGATAAGTACAAGAAAAAAACGATCTTTGGGTAGAAATCAATCAATAAAAGAAGACCTATAGCTATAAAGCGAAGAAGTAAACTTTTAGAAATGTTGTCTCAGGATAGGAACACTTTTAAAGAAATAAACTGATCTTCGTGATGAGAAAAAATATATGTTCGAGATCAAATGGGAAAGGAAGATGTTGTACGGAAGACGTAACGTAATGAAATGATCAGTAACAGATTAAAATATTTTCTGTAAAATTTCGTGAAGGTTTGCAGATATAATTGGGCATATTTTATAAGTTTCTGAATGGGTGGCTTAAACTTGGATAGAGGGCGCTGATTGGTAATTTATGCACCCAAATATCTGCAGTAATGTTTGGTCGTAGTTAATCATGAAAAACTTAACTTCGGGGCTTTGGGGATGTTCATAATCTGCATTCTAATCTTTGATGGAAGTATAAGACTGTAGAAATATGTGTTTGTCGTAGAATATAGGGAAGATGAATAGAAAATGCAGTTAAGAGTTTTCATTTGAAAGTGAAAAAAAGAAAATGGTAAGGTTACGAAGTAACAGTTCAAAAGTATAGTTACTTATAAGCTAATATCATTTTGATAAAATTCGTGACGTGCCAAGTTTTGCAGAAGTTAACTCTATATACAACATGAAATGAAAAGCTGTCAGTTTGTAAAGCACATTTACCATTTCTTTTTGTGGGGATGAAATTCCATAAACACGAAGCTGTGGAATCGGTTATTTATCATAGGAGGACGAAAGGAGACCTGACAGTTACAGGAAAAAGCCACGGTGATAAAGAGAAAGTCGAAGTCCCGTTGAGAAGATGACTGAATAAAGAAGCCATCATTTTTGAGTCTTTTGGATTTTTGTAAATTAATCTGGACTTTATGTTCATATTGGAAGATGAAATCTGATATCTACCGCACAGAAATAATGGTTGAAAACAAATCTGTAAACATGAGGTCGTATATTTGAAGGCTCAAATCAAGTGATAAGAAAAATAATTTTAGTAGGAAACAAAGAACACTTATAGGTAGGTTTAAAAAAAGGAATATGATGTGAGAAAAGCTCTGAAAAATAAGTTTTGCTTTTGGAAAAACAAAAAAAGTTTAAATTAATTAAAACCAAATAGAAAGTCGAAAACTTGTAACAGAAAATTGAGAAAGAACGAAAGAGGAAAAATCTATAGAAATGTTGACTTATAACAGGTAATACAACAGTAAGAAAGGTTATAAAAAGATTGGAAAACGGATGATAACGATAAGACAAATCATAGGAAAGTCTGGTATGGATTTCAAAAATTTAAACTCAACTCAATCAACTCAGAGAAAATGGGAAAATAAGAGTATTTCCAAAATCTGTGTTTGTTTGTTTCAGATATTCGCGCAAAGCTACATCAGGGTTATATGCGCTAGGCTTTCCTAATTTTGAACAAATAGACAAGATGGAGAGTAGTAACTACCGCTTACTCTTGAGCTACTCTAATCGAATAACGAGGTTCTACCTTCTCTTTTATAACACTCACAGTCCCAAAGCATGAGACGAGAACCGTAGCTCCTCAGATATACAGTCTGGTAGTGCTAACCACTAGGCTACGCCTGGCCTCTTTCTTAAGATTTGCGCAACTTTAACGCAGAGCGCCATTTGTGGAGTGACTCCTTACTAATATTACATATGTTTACAAAGAAAAAAAAACACGAAATGAGATAAACAATCCACTTTATCCAGCGATTTAAGAATCACCAGAAAATTGCAACGCTACTGACATAAAACCACCACTTTACCTCCTTTTTTTCCCAGATAAAAAATGCAGGATACATCGTTGAAATGTAGTCAAATGGCAACCTGAAAAATAGGGAAGAGGTGTGTGAAAATATTCTCATTCTACCGATACTACTTTAACTTACTTTGAAATAATTTTTTGTAAGTACTGAAATAGTACCACAATTATCCAGTAGATGGCAATAAAGTACTTTATTGGAAGAAAATATATAATAATTATTTCTTTTATCTGAGTATCTATCTATATAATAGTTGGAACTAAATTACTCTCCTGACTCTCTATTTATTTAGGTAAAGAATATATGACTTATGCAACGCAGGGCCTGTTTATAAAGGGTATATCAAGAAAAGAAAGATAACAGAATTATGAATTTCTGCTGAATATACGAAAGTTCAATAGTGATTTTAAATTATTTTAAACCACGTTTAAATGTAGACTTATCAAGAGTCCGAACTATCGTAATTTAAGTTTAATTTAGTTACTAATTAATAAAAAAGAACTTCTGAGTGAAACAAGAGTATCCCACGAATTGATATGTGCTGTTCACTAACGGCCTTTCGTCTGGTCTGGAGCCGTGCGTGACCCCCGTAGCTAGAGTGCTGAACTGTGGATCTGAGGTTCGCACCCTTTTACCACCAAATAAACAATCACGTTCCGCGCTTTGGAGCTATGGATTCGCTATAAGGTGAAATACTACTACTATTCAGTTAAAGTAACCCTCGAGTTGGCGGTGGATATTGTTGACTAGTTGTCTTCTCTTTAGTCTATCACTTCAAACTAAGGGATAGCTAACGCAGACAGCCCTCGAGTAGTTTTGCACGAAATTCAGCAAATAACAACAACTCTTTTTCTGTCAGTTCAAAATTAGAAACGGCTATGCATAAATAGCACTTTATGTAGTCTGCGCAAAAATTCTGAAACAAATAAATAAACACACAAACGAATAAAACTAAGTCTTAGAAAAAAAAAAACGTAAGATATATTTTTTTCTAAATATTTATATTTAAAGGCAACCATTTTTCCATTTTAAATATCTAGATATATTTTGCTCATGATTTGGAATGTTCTTTTTATGTACAGGAACAAAACTAACTTGGCTACAGGTGATTTGATTTTTAGAAACAAAAGAATCGCATCTGTTAATTCTATTCCAAGTGAGATACATGCGATTATTTCAATTATACCCAAAGGACCGGCTTTTCAGAAAAGTATTGGTTTCACTAATGATATACGTTCATTATTTGCTCTTTTACATTTAAACATATTAGCGTGTGTGTGTGTCAGACAGAATAATTCCATTATAACAGCCGCTCACCATTCCCTGGTGAGACAGCGATAAGTTTACGTACTTACAACGCTAAAATTCGAGATTCGATTCTTCGCGGTAGTTATAGCAGATAGCCCAATGTGGCTTTGCTCTAACAAAACCAACCAGCAACCCCTTAGTGGCTCAAAAATAAGTCTGAAGAATTATAACACCAGAAATGGGTTTCAATACCCGTTGTAGGCACAGCACAGGTAGCCATTGTGTAACTTTGCGCTTAACAACAAACAAATTACAATAACAACTTTGTTAGACAATAGGTACGCGAAAACTGAGTTAATTAAATGATAAAAAGTTATTCTTTTCCGAACTATAATCGAATTTTTATTCTTACTATAAAGAAAAATAAAGTATGAACTTTGGGGAAAATTTCAAGATTTGCCTACGTTCAATCACGCACAATTTCATCTTACTGTTAATGAATATTAACTTGAAAGAAGATGATTATCTTTGAATTTCAAAATAATGTTGTGATGCTGCTCTTTACAGATCGTGACTAGCTCGTCAAAACAAGTATTTACTTGTTTTTGTTATTTTACTTAAAATCTCTCGGTTAACGACCAGACTTAAACGTCTATTCATTTTACAGCTCAGTTTTTCAAGAAATGAATAAAATAAAGTAATTCGAGTTTAAACCTTAACTGATGAGAAAACTAAAGATACACCAAAAAACGCAAAAAAGGTCAAATTACACAGAAAGAAACAAATGGAAGGCGAGGTTAACTTTAGAGTACTATATTACATTGAAGAGATTAGGTATAGAAACCCCTGACAGCAAAAACGCCAAACACCAGTTTTGGAAGCCACAGAAATCTGATAAAATTGACTAGATGCATATTTACAGGCCAGAGGAGAGCCAAGGTTAAACTTGAAAAGAGACCAAAGGAAACTATAGAAGTTTTATTAGGTTAACAAACTAAAAGAAAAAAAAACCCATAGGTACTTCAACTTTTCTTAGTAAGTGTAATTTATAGGCATATCTTTTAAGTATATTTTGAGTACCCTCCAAAAAAGGATTTTACGTAAAAAAATAATAGAGAGATGTGTATGTGATAAAATGCAGTAAATTTGGAAATTTTAAAGCTAATCTTACTAGTAAGTATTTGATTTTTGTAAGTCTTTCTTAGGCCTATTTGGTCACTTCAATTAAGTATATTTAGAAATGTTACCACTACATGAGTGTCTATGCCTAAATAGTTGTTTAATACTTCTTTCTAAAATAAAAAAAAATTGATGCATTAAAATTAGTCTCTTGGACCCAGCATCAAAATTTACATTAAGGAGCGCAACCTCCTCACTCCCTTCCCTGTTCCTTTAGGTTTGTTATCCTCAATTCTGTCACAAGTCCTACCGAAGAACAATTAAAACTAACTTTATTTCTTAAAAAGCAAATGAAAACTACAAACATCGCTTAATGATTGCCGACAATGAAAAACAAATTATTAAAATATTCACGTTTTGCGTGAAGTGATACAGCGATACTTAACATCGTCCTTCAACTCTTCTTGGTGTCCTTTGTGCATAGACAATCGAATACGAGGCTCTCTCGTAAGCCTAAGTTATCCACTTTAATCTAAAACCAAGAATCTCACAAAGTTAGTGTAATAAAAAATAAAATAAGATTTATTAAAAATCTACACAAACATAAAAATGTATTTACAATAACCTAAATAAGATGCATGACATACACAAACGAAATGGCCACAACAACTGTGGTGTTATTTATGATGTGGAAGGGCATAGCTAAACTAAAAATAAAAGTCAACACACACGCTCATATATACATCTAACACATGGAAATATTTAGTTTAGTCAAAACAAAACAAAGATTATTTACAGAATAGGTGCCAAAAAAGATATTCTTGGAAAATGTTAATTGCAACAATAACATCAAAAAGCGTTGAGGATATTCCGCCTTTATTTATAAAACGCTAGGGAAAAAAACTGTAATGCAGACTTTTTAAGAACTAGGTTAATGAGAGTACAATCTGGGTGCACCAATAGTGAGTGTCCTAAGCTGGCCTATCTATCACTATCCGCGGCTGGTTGTTGGTGTGATAGTAACCCAATATTACCAATCATGATAAAAGCTAAAAAAAATCCAAAAACGAGATTAAAGATCTTATTCACGCTTATAATTTAAATCATAAAATACACCTGTTCACCACCCAACGACAAAATTAATATTACAGTAATATAAACGAGTTACACAACCCTCCTGTATGATTTGATAATAAATCACCTACCTACATTTTCCCACATTCAAAAGGTGGGGTTTGGGATGATATATTTTTATTATCTAATTATACTGGTATATTGTGTAATCTTTCTTTAAAAATTTAGTGAAATTCTTGAAATTGGCACAAAGCAAAGAAAAATAATGAGGTTTTTAGAACTAATTCAAAACGTAACAAAAGGTGATTGTCAGATGCTTCAAGAACAAAAGGGAAAATGTTTATTTTTTTATACAGTGCTTTTTTTTCAAGCTTTTCAGCTCACGGCAGAGCACGGCTTAAAGGTTAGCTATGACTAAATTTGAAAGTACGTGTTTCGCGGCACGTTCCGCAAAAATACGAAATAAGAGTGAAATTCTACTATTTGATCAGACAAGAGTAGCCAAAGAGTTGACGGAAGGTGCTACCGATTGCAAAATTCCCGGTAGTCTATTCGTCAAAAATTAGGGACTTCTATATTCAGATAACTGTTGTTTAACTTTGCGAGCAAAAGTTCTGAAAAACAAACAAACAACGTACCAGAAGTGTCACTAGAACAAACAACATACCAGAGATGTCACTAGGACAAACAACATACCAGAGATGTCACTAGGACAAATATGAATATTTTTTTTTGTTAGGGTACAGCTATAAAGATAATTTTATTAATTTGAAGCACTACTTATAAATCTTAAATGATAATCACGTTATGGTCATTTCATGCGCTGGAACTAAACGGCTGAAAAGACAGATTATGGAAAGTGACGCCGTCTGTCGCCCTCGTGTCTAGACAAAATCCAATACACATAGGCCTTTTTTTTTCTCTCTCTGATATCCAGACTCATGATAGGTTATATTTTTGTGCTTCATTGAACTGGTGAGATGCACCATAAAAAACGAGGCTAAATAGCAAGTCTTTAATCAACTATGGCCTGAAGAAAGATGCTGGAAACTAGCGAAGGTCCAGTGCGCATTTTGTTCTTCTCAACAAAAGCTAAGCAATGATGAAACTCTTTACATTAAAGAGAAAATGAGTGTAGTTCTTACACGTTTCAGTTTCAATTTTTGTTGGGTGGAATTCACAGAAGAGACAAAATATTTGGTGTACTCGTGTCTACATCTAGACATTGAAATGTATGTGAGCAGAAAAATATATTGGTTCACAAAGTTTGGTTGAAGAACGTAGGAACTTATTGTGGAAACAGAATATACGCAACAAGCACAACTGTCAGATAGTGGATGATAATTTTATTTCCGAATAAACATAGATTTAAATGCTACCGGTCCCACATTGGCTCAGCAGTAAGTCTTTAGACTTATGGCGCTAAAAATCAGGTTTCGATACTCGTGATGGGCAGAGCACAGACAGCCCATTGGGTAGTTTTGCCTTCAACAACGACTAACCAACCATTAAGTGCTACCTACAATATTAGTCGGTTGGTAATCCAAATTGTGCATCAACTCGTTCACTTCCACTTGTTCATCAGGCGCTCACCGAACACATAGCAAGGGTTA